ATAAACAGCAAGAAAGAAAGTCTTTTTGGCATCAAATGGTGACTGGCGATGAGAAGTGGGCTTCTGTTGAGAATCCCAAACGCACAAAATCACGGGTTGATCCAGGTCAACCGTCAGCATCGACCGCAAGGCCAAATCGCTTCGGAGAGAAGACACTGCTCTGCGTTCGGTGGGATCGGGAAGGTGCGGTGTATTATGCGCTTCCCAAACCAGGTGAAACCGTTAATACTGATCGCTACCGACAACAGGTAATCGATTTGAACCACACTTTGATCGTAAAACCACCAAAATGGGCCAGAAGACACGGCAAAGTAATGTTGCTTCACGATGACGCACCATCACACACTTCAGAACCAGTTACAGACACGTGAAAAGATCTTGCCTGGGAAGTGTTAACCCACCCGCCGTGTTCACCCGACCTGCTCCCTCAGATTCCCACTCGTTCCGATCGACGGCACCCGCACTCTCTGAGCGGCACTTCACAACGTGAGAAGAAGAGGAAAACTGGGTCTCTGAACGGTCTGCCTCAAACAAGAAAAGTTCTATTGGGACGGATCCACAAATGACCTGAAAGATGGGGGATGTGTAGCTAGCGACGGACGTTACTTTGAATAAAGCACTTCTGATGTTTCTCTTGAAATTACCGTGTTTTCTTTGATGACAAAATCCGCATCATTAACCGGCTGACAGTTAATCCGCATCATTAACCGGTTGACAGTTAATCCGCATTACTAACCGGTCCACCTGGTAACTTCAGAGTCAGTCCCCGGATCTCCCTGCTCACCTCCCACCCCCGGCTCCAGGTCCCAGAGAAAGCCCTTCCGAGTTGACTTTATGTGCCACCCTCACCTAGTACTGCCTTCCGCCTTTAACCTTTAACCTTTAACCTGACCTTCCAGGGTTCATGTCCATCCTGCTCCGGTCACGCGTACCTGCCCCTTCCTGGAGCTCTCATGACACCTGGCCTGGCTCCTCTCGCCCTCTGAGGTGGAGCCGGCTCAGCGCCAGGCCTTCGCTTCTCCATCTGCACTCGTTACCAGGCGATCTCACCCCCACCCATGACTTCACACGTGCACCGGCAGCCCTGCGTCCCTCTGTGCACCCACTGCACACGCAGCACCCACTGGCACAAAATGGTCGAGAACTTCACGGGTCAGAGCAGCATGCAGGCTCCACCCCTCGGCAGCAAAACTGAGCAGACACCCTGCCCCGCCCCGTTCCCCCCTCCGTACCCCCACAGCTCAGCTCACACCTCTGATTCTTCCTCTCCTGGTCCCCCATCAGGAGACTGCAGAGCACACAGCCTGTGGGTGTGCACACGCACACGCCTCCCCCAGGTCGTAGGTGCCGAGTACAGCGACTGTGTCAGAACCACGTGCACGTAACCTGCACTGTCTCCCACTGGCCCTGCAGGAAAGTGTGCAGAAGTCCTGAGTGACAGGACGTCCCACAGTCACGCCCAGTAGAAAGCAGTCTGTGTTCAGTGTCCATTCCCGGCTGCTAGCAAAGTGGTCAACATGCTCCACACAGAGAGGCCGGCACAGCTGGCCCGTCAGCGGGAGGTGTCAGCAGGAGGGATGTGCGGAGGGACAAGGGGCCCCTGTGCCCCAGGCAGCACCCTCCCTCCACAGCTGCCGGGCTGGCTGGCAGCCAACACAGAAATGCGGGGGGAGGGGAGGCGCGGGGAGAAGGGGGGGCAGGCAAGTCCCTCCTTCGCCCCCGAGATACGAGATACGCATCTCTCTGGGCCACAGGAACTCACTGCGACTCCGCTGACTCCTCTCCTCCAGCAGGGGAGCCCCACCGCCTGGTTTTCAGGGGTCCGCGCTGAGTGATGCTCTAAGTTGAGACCCCATCACCCTGGGCCGGAATTTAAAGGGGCTCCTGGCTGCCCACCGTCCCCCGTCCCACGGGAGGCCCCCTGCTCAGGAGCCGCGTCTGGGGAACAAGAAAGCCCCACCCTGGGCTGGTGAGGACAAGCCTGTCCACACGACCTGCGACCTCCCACACGGCCCTGCTACCTGCTCTCCGTGTGGACAGTGGCCACCTGCTCTGGGGCCTCGGGGCA